ATTAAAAATATTCCATCGATAAGCTAAGTGTCCTAGAATCATTCCATATACTATGGAAGCTAAAATCAATAGTTACATGAATACGATAATTTAGTATTAACCAACTGAAAGGAGAAGAATAGTTTTAATTAAGTTTTGAATGACTAAACGCTGGTAGTTTTGAACAGTATGATTACATGATAATATACTCAATGCTTTATTGTGAATTGATAGGTAAACCAAACAAATGATTTTGATCAGAGTTATGACAATAAAAAGATAATCAATGATTAATTTTGAAGAGTTGAGTATAAAAACTTGCAAATAAAATAATTAATAAGCGGTATTTTAAATGTAATAGTCCTTTTCTTCAAATATTAAACGTAAACCTATTATATTCATAACCAATCACATCAGAAAAGCCAAGATAAACTAACCCTTTTACATCTGTTCACAATTTTTTATACCCCTTATCAAACTTACTAAACTATTGAAGAATGTCGTTCACAGAGTAATGAAATATATATAAAAATTAACAAAGTGTCTCCACAACTAACCACATTTAGTTGACATCACTTATTGGAACATTGAGCCCTAAAGAAGTAGCAAAAGTTATCTCACCTTCAAACAGCCTATGAAAATTTGTTTATTGGAGAGTTACAGTAAAGAATGCTGAAGTTAATCGATTGTAATTCATTCGGTTATCCTGAATAAGTGGTTCTAAAATATAGTTTAGATCACAGAGTGATTCTAAGTAGACATAAAACAGAGTAATAAACAGTTGTTTCGTCCCAGCTTTAGACCCAAGCAGTGTTCATCCATGTCTAAAGTGATGTGTGTATTCACTGCTCTCTGGTCTTTAAAAGCTACTGATTTTAAGTTATTGTATGACACAAAATACCTCTAAATCTAACACGATCTTCATTGAAAAACCGCAGTGAAATGGGAAAGGAACAACTAAAGTTCATTATTTTGATAGAACAATGAGAAGACGTAATTGATCTAAAAAATGTGATCCATTCGCGCTATACATTTCGAACAATCTGGTCACACATATACTTGTCAAGGCATTTTATATGAAGATTAACAAAAGGTCAATTAAATAAAAGTTCAAGTAGACATTAGGTGATCATTGTAAATAAAGGAGAGAGAAAATCAACGCAATATGAAAAGAATAAGAAAGAGTAGGAAACTGTCACATTACCCTAGGCTTAAAGATTACCACGTTAAATTCAAGGTTATAACAAACTGTTTCTGTACACATAAGGAGGGTTTTAATTTTCGAATAGCCAAGGTCCCCATAAACCTAAAATTTCGTCCTTCAACATTTCTATACAATGTTTTGAAGGCTGTCTTGACGTCAGTCGTATGCCCTGTCTCAGTTGTGTGATCTGTGATCGATGAACATGGTTTTCCATTTCCCACGTTTATCGGCTCACCGACGTTAACTGACTCGCAAGCCACTTAGGTACATGTTCCGTAACCCTTTATCACAAAGTCCTATTACTCCTCCCTATGTATGCGTGTCCACACAAATATGTAAACTGATAAATGAAATGCGATGTGATGTAATCATTCAAGCAAAGTTTAGGTCTATGTGGAATCAGTGTAGTATGTTTTCTCTATGGCTACTTTTAGTCTCTGTCCCAAAATTAGACCATTTGTTTCACCTCTAAATGGTAACGTGATATAAACCTTTTTATTCTCAGCAGAATGAAAATCCAGGCTTTTGTCTTAGCTGATTTCTACACCTACTGAACTTTATTAACGTGTAGCCGTTTGAAATCAATGTTTCAGTTGAAAATTTTACATCTTCTTCAAATGTATCCGTGGTGCAAGTCCTTTGGGCCTTATTGAAGAGGCATTTGCCAAGCTTCGCCTGTATTGAAGTGGACAAAAACGGATTAAATTTAGATACTGTCTAGTCCAGGTTGATTTTCTATGAACTGAACACTTTATAGTTCCATTCTCCCTTCGACTCAACAGTATGTCTACAAAGGGCAATTAGTTATTACTTTCTGTTTCGTGGGTTAGGACAATGTCATTCTGAAGCCTATTGAAATTATTCAGTAAATGAGAGACATTGAGTTCTTTATCGCATATAACTAAAATATCATCCATATATCTCATATACAGCGTAAACTTATTAATGGGCTCATTCCACAAATTTTCAACATATTCCATATAAACATCAGCCAAGAGAGGTCCCAAAGGACTACCCATAGCAACGGCATCAACTTGCTGGAAATGTTCATCATCAAACGTGAAATGAACTTTCTCAGTACATAATAAAATTAATTCTCTTAGTACAGTTGACCAGATAGGAAAAAGAGGGAAATTACTTAATATACAGTCACAAAGAAAGTTAATCGTTCATTCACATAAAAAGCATCAAAATTGTATACGACTGCACAAAATTCTCTTTCAATCATAATCTTGATAAGATTCCATAGACTAGGGGAAATGAGTAGAACTAATTTCTTATCTATTCAAAATATATCCAGAAATTTGATTTAAAGTAACTTACCCTGTACTTTGTTTAGGATCTATGGTTAAAGAACGATGAAAACATGTTGCAGCTTGTTCTAAATCATTTCGTCCCAGATAATAAACACCAAAATCAAGCCAATGGGCTGATGAACTTGGATTTCTTGAAATTCTTTCCTACATAAAGTAAAATAATTGATTTATATAAATAGATATCTATTTAATGAATAAAGTACTTCAAAAATCTACAAAAGTTTGCTGTCTGCAAATGATGAGTACTTATGAATAGGTACAATGCAGGCACACTGTCATCATCGATATTAAGTACAGACTACTAATAACAATAAACGAACTAACTAAGCCTGAATCAGTAGTCTGAATAAATGTACAAAAAGAATTTACTAACTTACTTGATAATATTTAACTGCCCAGTCATACATCTGATTTTGTTCAGCTTCACGAGCAAAACGTAATAGAGTTTCTGGATCAGTGAAATTAAGTTCAGGAATCTTTGTGAAATCTCTTGTATAGAATACTTTTTTTAAACCAATGTGCATTTCATCCACAAGATAAACAAATAGATCCCTCAGAAAATGCTTAATTCATAAAAAAGCAATGAAAAGCTGTGATTATTGACTAAATAGAGAACATTGAAAAAATTGCTTTCCGATTTATTATACGATTAAAAGCGTCATTTTTACTTAAAACACTTACTCTTTTTCAAAATTTTAAACTGTGTAATGGGGAAGATACAGACAATGTGATCAAGCGATTCAGTCACGTGTAATGAGAAATTTAGCTAATTAACTTCAAAACAATTTAGCATTAGCACTGATAAATTCAGGGAGCAGAAAACTCTGCTTACCAACAACCAAACATATAACTAAGATATTGATTTTGCTACAAAATTCAAAGCTTTTTGTGGGTTAGGGTTAGGGTCGTGGACGCCCACTGCTGATGAGCCCTATACCAGGACGAGACGGCCGTCCAGTGTTGCCAGGTTTCTAATGGTGGTCTAACAACGATTCATTCATGATTTCAATGTGAAAAAAAATAAACAATTGAAATCAATGTATTCACCTGCAATTGTTCTTGATTGGTAAATGGTTTAGTACGAAAGAATTTTTCTCGAACTATCTTGATCACAGCAAATTTTAAACGTTCTTTAAATGCAAAATATTTCCCAGATGAATTAAGCGAATAATAAAGTTCATGTTTCCTGAATTAATTTATTATTTTAAATAAATTTTATTATTCTTACATTTGTTCAGCACATTCATGATCTACTGGTAATTGATCACTTTGTATTAGATCAGCAAACATAACTCTGTAAAATATAGAATATTTGATAATAAATTAAAATTAAACAAATAATTAAGTGTATTAGGAATAATCAATGACAATAACACAATAATTGTTATTGTATTTTATTTTCAATAATCAAGTTTCAGGTTTAAGCTTTCAAGTAGTATCAATAGTCTTTACGATGAATTCATGAAACACCACTGAACAGACGAAAATGTATTTGGAAAGTGAATAAAATTACTCACTACTGTAGTTTCCGGATGAATTTTTTCGGAAACTGTTGAAGTATTCAATACTAGAAATCATTTCAGTTAAATCAATCTACTAAGTAGATGGTTTAAATTCTACTCCAATTTATTTTACGCTCTATGCATGCTGATACATTCAGTACGCCATTCATACTGCTTAGTATCAGCATATTTATCATAAATGCTCAGTTGGTAATCTTCAAAAATTCATTATCTTGTTGGAAAATGTACACCTATTTGATTGATATTATTTATTTATTTTTATAAATCTCAGCATAAAAATGTATTTTTTACTAACATAATATTTCTTATCGAAAATCTGTTAAATGATAAACATAATCACAATTAGACTTGGTAAAAACTGTGCATTATGAACTTTACTGTGAAACATACGTCAGTAATTTGAAAAATGCTATTTTACAACACCAAAGATTTATTATGCGCACAAACAACTTCATTTTCTGTAATTTATCATTTTTATTTGATATTAAGCTTCATTGAGTTAGATAGTCATTCAAGTTCAAAGAAAATTTCATCTAGAGCGTTTTAAGACCTACTTGTTTCCTGTTTAGTCAGTTGAGTTATGAAATCAAGTATCACAGTCTCGAGTACTCTTCAATCGAATTGACATCCCTTGAGTAAATCTAAGCAACACCCATTTACTTTAAGTTACCTATATTTATTACTTATTCACGAGACAGAAAGTGACCAATAAAGTAAAAGTTACGTACAATACTTTTGAAATTATTCCTTGAAAGCAATTTCTGACGAAATTTGACTAACAGAGCAAATCTTCTTGACTTTATGTAATCATTTAAAATTGTTTCAGTTTTATTATAAACAAGTAGGTGTTGTATCAGTTATGCCTACAATAGAATAAAATGTCTATACATCTCTTAGAGATTGTTTTTTGATTCAGATTTCATGTTAGGTTAACTAGTTTCAAATTGTCAGATATATAAATCAGTTCGTATAAGCGATCATTGGAATAATATAATAACAATGAATATCAATTCTTTTTACTTGAATTCCATTAACAAATAATTAGCAACTTCTGCTATTTGCTTGTGATATTCCTTAACTGCCTATAAATAAATAATGAAGAAAGTCGAATAGAGTAGAAAGTCATGATTAAATTTAATAGGCAAACAAATCAAAAAATTATTATTTACAAAATGATTCATTTCATGATTAATTTACATTATCCAACGACCCAAACCCTTCATGTGTCAAACTTCTAGGAGAATTCAAAAACCTTAGATGATATACTAGATTATTTAAGATTTTTCAGACAAATAATACAGCTTCAGTTTTTTATGGCTATTTTAGTAATTTGTTAAATGTGCATTTCCTAATGAAATGTTTACGTAAGTTGGAAACGTTTAAATGTGTAAATCCTGTTGACAGTTTATTTAAGAATATCTACCTCCCATTTTAATCACATGAAAATTTATAGGAAGACAGATATCATCTTTTAGCAAAGTAAAATTTACCATAAATATTAGGTTCAAGATGATTAAGATCGATTAAGAACGTAAACTGTCTTCGTTTTATCAGCAACTATAGTCGTCGTAATTTCCATATATAGAACATCCCTTTATAGTTGAGTAAACAATAATTCACTTTGAAGTGATCGAATTAAGTGAACAACAGATTTCTACTTAAATTATTGCTCTCAATGACTGATGCTAAATGACACTGTTAAACAGCAGTGACGCTGAAGCTAAACATGATGTTTTCAAATTACATTTTAGCCAGTGAATAACCAACTCATCTAATGCAAAATTATAATTCGCCAGAAACTTTATAAAACTTAACTGATTATTGCAGTTATTAAAAACATCCATTTAACTGAGTTAAAATAAGTTTTTTCGTAATAATTTATAACGTAAGAGCAGATTTACAGACATTTCCTCATTCGCTTCATTAACTTTCATAAGACATTTCCTGAGAACTCGACAACGAAGTTATGAAAAAAACGCTACAAACAGCTCATCCATGTTTTTGTACACCACTGGAACATGTATTATTCAATAAATTTCTATTAGTGATTCGTTTAAATTTTAATTGTAAAAATGGAATAAAAGCTTGTTCATTTATTGGTTGTATACAATTTACAAGAAAGTTACCATTAGTTCACCTACACATTATATCATTCTCAGATCATGTGTGTATGTTTAACAGAGATTTCTGGATTTTATTAAATATGATGGCTTTTTAAATGCCAAACAAAAAACTGAGAGTTGTTTTCGTAATGATCATTGGCTGACCAATAAATTATGACTTCAAACTAACCATCAAATTAATTGTAACACTAACAGGCTAGACAGAGCTCTTGTTGAATACTATTTTTTTTTTAAATTTTGAATTATTCGGCTACAAATTTCTTGATTCATATTTTCAGACTAGACACTATATGATTTGATCATTACCATTTACCTTTTTTCTATCCTTTATATTCTTAAGTGTTTTTGTGACTGCAGTCAATCACAGCTATCAAAATATGTGGGTAATATGTTTATGCATATTGTAATCTATGGACTACGTTATCTACGTCGATCCATCGTTAAAATAGTCTATTCTCTTAAGCTATGGTTTCTATATACAAATAGTTTATGTTTAATTGCAATGATAAGAAATCGACTTTAAAATAACTTTAAAATATAATATTGTTATTATCATTGTCACTAAATTAAATAATGTTTGTTGATGTTACTCCTTCACGTAAACACGTCAACTTGATATACTTACGTAGTCGGAAAACGAGAGCGAGGATCGAGGATCCGGCGACACGACATACAACTCAAATCCGATTATCCCAACCCCCATATTTAGTTAAAATAAGAAGACGTGATATGAAGTAGAACCTGTATTCTACAAGCATCCAGAAAGTACGAGGTCCGAATCCAGAAGAGAATCAGGATCCCGGACTAGGGATCCGGGACCGAGCCCTGGTCCTGGTCATGGTCATAAAACGTTACACATAATTCGTATTTATACATTTTGGTCGAATAGGAAACAGCATCGAAGTCTGTGACATTAACAGTTAAGACGACCGATACAGAACAACATTGGAGTACGTGACATTGATATCTAGGACGACCATAAAATTGACCAATAGGAATAGACCAATAATTCTCTTAGGATATTGGATGAATATCCTAACAGTTAAATAAATTAGAGGCGTAAACTGTATAATAATAAAAAATAATAAACTGTATAATAATAAAAAATAATCTACTTTTTCAGCTGTGACATGTCGTTTTACAACTGGTTGTTTTTCAGTAATATACGTAGAAACTCTTTGATCGATTTCTTCTAAAGTTCTTTTCTTAATCAAGGGTTTCTCTAAACGAAATTCTAACATTATAAATGATTGAGCATCTAAATATTGAGAAGCCTCAGTATTTTGTACTTGATCAGTGGCTTGTTCGCTGGGTGTTAAATTTGATTTTTGTCTTTCACTTTCAATACGTTCACCAGCTTCCGATTCTATTGCACTAGCACTTCTTCCTGTGTTCTACAAAATGATAATTTTATTTATTACAAAACATTAATCATTATTAAGGGGCAGAAACAATGGATTAGGAAAGAGTTTTTAATGTTATGTATTTTGTGAACAAAGTGAATTTATTTTATATAAAGAAATTTGATCCATTCCATTTGATGTTGAACTGTTTCTGAGCTGCTCAATAACAAGTCATGAAAATAGATTACTAAAAACCAATGGTTAATTCTTCAATCAGATGTCATCTATTTAGTTTAATGAGTAGAGTATATGTTTACTTAGTTAGCTCTATGGTAATATCTTTGTCTAAACAACTGAATTACATAGGTCCGAATCTGGCGTCAAGTATAAGTTGCAAGGTAGCACTGAATTCATCTTTCTCAAACTCTTAAAATGCGTTCACTATGAGCGGAAATTGATTTCTGTTTGTTTTAAACTTTTCTAATACTGGATTTAGTCAAATTTATTGATTTTTAAAGGTGAATCTAAGATTCAACTGATGACTGCTCTCTTTTAGCTGCATCTAATTGCCATAAATTCATTCATAAACGTGTACGATCTCAGAGATACATTGTTGGGCTTATTACAGATCAAGCAAATGAAATAAACATTAGATTTTTCTTTATTCATAGTATCGCAGTAATTCACTCAACTTTCCTACTATAACGTATATAAGAAGAAATGGGCTATTTTTAAGCCTAAAACATAATTTGATTGATGCCTTTCCTAATTCAGGAATGTAGCTAGTTAATAATCTATTGATACATAAACCTGTTTACAAAACTTAGTTTATTTGAAGGAAGCCTTCACCACAGATTGTTGCTTGTTAGTAGGCCGTAACTTAGATAACTCAAATACTTAGTTTTATGAGGTTTCCATTGGTTTACTAGCTGATGATGGTTGAGATAAAACAAATATCTGCAACTTGAATGAATCCACAAATTCCAGCCTTAATAATGTAATTTAACTTGTTATTTTAATACCAACTATGGTATTATACAACCATGCTAGTTTGAAATTTTCTGGACTGTTTGATAACTTTGAAAGTCAAAAAGCTACTAGTAGCTAATTAGTTTTTAGCCGAGATTGATTATGATTAAAGTTTTAAGCGCCAAAAGACTTCAGCCTCAAATAAAATTACTTATTTCCATTTCTCGATATCCGTTAGTAAATAATCTGGCAAATACCAGTTAATCTAGTTTTCCTGCTTTCTGTAATGTAAGTTATGTGGAAAAAACTAAAAAGTTAAACAAAAATTATGTCATGTTTATGAACAACAAACCTAAGAATCTTTTCTGGAAGTATACCTCAACTGTTATTTCAAGTTGCTTACTTTGTAACTGCATTGTTCAGTTTGACAGATAGACACTGGAATCAATGAGTGAGCTACTTAATACATCAAAATTGTCTAACGTATTTTGAAATGTGACTTTTACAATTTATAAAATGAAATATAAAACCATATACGTTATCACCTTAAGTTGTACCGTATTTCATGAATTCTCAAAATTTAGATGTTTAAAATTTGAACGTCTGTCTGATTTAATGATGAACACGAAACGCTGGTGCTCAAATTTGTACATATATTTTTGAGTCTATTCGTATGCACATTGACAACAGTTAATTGTGTAAATTATCGAATAAAAGACCATTAATCCCCATGTAAGGACCAATGAAATTCGATTTCAAATGTACAATGACTAATATTACTATCCGAAGTGTGATTGAATGATAAACAATGAGACAGTATGGCTCGTGAGTGATTTATCATAACTCAACTCTTCTTTATCATAAAGTAAATGCTGTCAACCCCATTTTAGACAGTAGATCTGTTTATTCCACATAATAGTATCCAATCAATATATGATGGTGTGTGAACGATTGCAATCAACAAGAAACTCTGGACCTCAAAGCGGTGTTTACTTTTCAGTTATATATATCTTTTATCAGAGAAAATAAAGCTCCTCTCAGTAGTTAAATGTCTTAGTGTGAGAGTAATGACTGTCAATTCGTTTACAACTACTCATTAAACAGTGAGTGTGTTTTCCTTATACTAGGGGCCTCCTGAAATAGTAACCACACTAAGAAACTAGATGATAAAGCTCTATAAACGTTAAGAATATGGCATTGTGGAGTTAATTAAAACTCAACAATAAAACAATTCTAATGAAGGCTATCATCTAAAAACCGAATATATTGAGAAGTTCCGCTAAGTTATAAGATTTTGAATCTTTGCAGAATATTCAAAGATGGATGTGTCTGAATAATAAGAGTGTACGAGGCATAGACCATAGACGTTTTGTAAATAGATATAAATATAATATAAGCATGTAGAAAGTCGAAACCATAAATTCTATTAATATAAGCTTCTAAATCGAAGTTTCTCTTCAGAACAACTGTTCACATCTAATTCTGAAAGATTTCAGCCCTAGACGACACCAAGTTCTAACATTTACTTTATTACCATCGGACACTCTTTTTCATTAGTCCTTAACATTGAGAAAGCATAGTTTGATCAGCATCAGGCGTTCTGTACTGCTGAAGATCTCCTGATTTCTCTTTATCTCTGCAACAAATATTCATCGATTGAAAGAAAAACGCTTACCTAAATCAAATATAATTGCAGTTAATAATTTAGAGAAATGTGACATTTTTATTCAAGTATGTTGTATCTGGAGCATCAGTCCTGTTGATTTTTCTATGCTCACAGATATTCTAATTTGATTTTTGATTACTGCGAGTATATTAGTGGTATACAATTTCCGTATGACAGTGATTCAAAATAATCAATAAACTATTCATTTTGTACTTTCGTCGGATAATTTATTATTATAATAGATATATATATATATATATATATATATATATATATATATATAATATTATTTAAATATAGGTATTATAAATTAAAAAGTTTACTGGATAAATCTCACCTTCGTACTTACGAAACTTGATTTCCTTTCTTGTTTTGGAACATTAAGTTGTGTTTTTTTCTTATCCGTTGGTACATTCGGTGTACTTTGAACAGCTACCTTATTTAAAACATCACGAAGTAAGCAATTCTGACGTTTTGTCTAAAAATAAGCATTGCAAAGAAATGATAGATTATACAAACTCAATATCCAGTTAATTTTCATGGATGTGAATTATGAGTACAATAATGCTTTTTTCTTAGATGATTTAAATTCAGCACACAAATAAAATTATTCTATTACAAACTATACCTAATCATCAAAAAAAATAAAATGGTTAATGCAATTCAGTTCAATAAAAATCGTCATCGAAATCGATCGAATTAGACAAGCTCATTAGTTCGGAAATTAATACAATCAAATCACATAAACAACTTGTTATATTATCTAAGAACGTGAATATTTTCTTTTGCAAAATTAAGAACCAATACTTAACCTATGAGAGAAAAATATATCATAAACATACCGAAAAGCAATCATATCTAACATTACGAATGATCTACTTTTAAAGTACATCTGTAAAATTATTTCTATGATATTCATGATACTACTTTATTAGTTTAGCTCCAGTAATTTTTATGGTATGAAGCGTAAATCTTTCACTATAAAATAAATTTATACTATATTCTACAAGTTATTTAAACTTTGAGCTTTTCAAATTGCGTTAGCCTGGTGAAGTTATCATTGACCATTTATTTACTCAAATCTATTGCGTTTGTGGCAAAATGTAGGTTTTTGATAGGATTTTGATTGATATCTTGTATAAATAGTATTGTCTTGTTTTTTATCGATTTACGTCATGCTAGTAGAGTTATTGAATTTCTACAAAGTAATCTCAAATAATGAAGTATTAAACTCTGAAATAAAATTATTTCCTTTATCATTAATTACCAACCTACTGTCCCCGGTAAACCATATACCTGCGAAGCATGTTCTTCTAATGTTTGCAATTCTGATTTATCTGCTTAACTAATAAATACAGTTTATTTATTCCAACCCACTTTTTTAATTCTTTTATTCAAGATGGTTAGTAAGATTTTCTCTACCTATCAGTTAGTTGGAAGAGCGATTTTTATGGAACTTGTTTAAATCTTTCCCAGTTTGTTAGACATCAGATAGGATCATCTTCTAATACAGTCTGGTGAGTACTTTTTCATATTCTACACTTATCTATGAATTGTTCTCTCGGAATTTAGGCTTTAATGTGGTATATTTCCATGTTATGCAACTCATAAACACCCAGCGATTTGACGTGTTGTAAGCTTCAGTATAAAATGCTAATAAATTAATTTTGAATAATTTAGTGGATTTAATGACGTACATATAGAAAAAGAAGTACGGTCACAGTTTAACTGATTTTTAATGAGGTGCGAATATTTCTATCTACTGACAGCATGTTCCTTCAAATTATTTCGAACCTACTGTCATGAATCTGTGTTAGAATGGAAAACTGAAGCCATTCACTACAGTTAATCATGCAAAACACTCACACTCAATTATCCGACCGTTCTAAAGAAGACAAAGTATCAGTCAGAACAAAAACATTATTAGGATACAATACAAAGCAATCAGTAAGCAGAATCTAAAGTGAAATGAATTAGGCATTACAGTATGGTCATTTATATCTAATGTAGGTGAGAATGCATATCACTGGTCAACGACTGGTCATAATTCACTCTGATTTCTCATGTCACAAAAGGCTTTACTTTTCATTTTGATTTTAACTGTTTCAAGACGTATGCAGTATTCCGCAATGCTAACATCTTGGCTGCGAAAAACAGAACTACGATGATAATCTACTGCTTTATTATCTGAACGATAAATTTGTGAAAAGAATTTAGCTGAATAAATTTAAATAGAATAACAAATATATATCTCATACTTTATTGTATTAGGAACATTGTAATTTTACCTGTTACTGTAATAGCACTAGGGACGACTTAATCTACTGCTTTTTCTCGACCAGATCATTGCAAATTCAGAGCCACAATCAGCATATAATTATATCACTACTTATCTGATCTCTAACTAAAACTAACTAAAACCACTGACAGGAATCTATTATAAGTGATGAACGTTTTTCTGAGATCATCGAAATAATCATTAATTATATATACCACAAGGTTCAATATGCATTTTAACCGCCTATTTTATGCTTATCAACTCTATATAATAAGATAGTAAAACTAGCTAAGATTGTACAGATCTCAAAAATTGAGCTGACTAGCGATAACTAACATGCAGTACATTTCTGAGTAATTAAATTTCAGCGAAAGATGTTTCGAATAAACATCCAGCTTCATTTATTGGATCAAAATTTAACAGTAAACTAAATTTTTCAAAGGCTTATTAATGTGCTCACTTTTTCTTCATATTCCTTTTGATTAAAAGGGTATATTTTGTACGCCCCACGAACGTAATCAACTGAAAGTGAAAAAAATAACCGGGCTTACTTAGAAATAAATAGGTGATAACGTTTCAAATGGGCTTTTATTTTAACTTTGTCACAGAACCCGTAAATGAAAAAAACCGAAAATTCAAGTAAGTTATCTTACAGAAATCATTAGGTAAGGCCATAATCTATGTAAATACACTCATAAGCAAGAAGTGCTGGTGTGAAAATTTTTATTTATATACATATCCCTATTTTAAATTGGTTGTTCTGCAAGGTCGAAATGTTTGAATTGCCAGAATAACTTACCAGCTGATACTGCATAACCAAAACATTTCAATATTACCAGTTTTTTTATATATTGTGTAGATGTTTAAAAAGGTGCGCAGAAATATAAACCCATATTTCAAAATCATATTTAGAAAACTGAAGAAATTTAGAGGTACGATTATCAACACATCAATAAATTTACAGATAAAGAGCTTATTAATGGATGAATATCCTTGATTGCATTATGGCGAGGAACTTAGCCACTTGCCACGATGTCTACCATCTTACTTTTATTACAACTGTCGTAAATCAGCTTTTATTATGGAGTGAATTCCGACTCGTAGTACTTTTAGTAAATATAAGTTAACTGCATGTATACTTAAACTTAGTTTCTGTGTTTACTGACAATCTTTTTCTACATATTTCCACACCTGGTTCAAATCCCAAATGCAAAATATCCGAGTATGTTTATGACTTTGAATTTAAACTGGTTTGTGCACGGCTATCCGGGTACGAATTAGATAGTTCTGAAAATCACTAATTTATCTCTAATTATCACGTTAAGGAGTGTAATTTTCATTGAAGAATAATAAATGAAGACATATCAGTAGTATGTTAATAGGTCATAAAATAATAAATCTCTGAACTGATAACATAAGTATGTTTAATATAATTGTTAAGGTTGACGAAAACTTAGTCATGTCTTACCACCTGGGTACAGAAGTGGAGTTAAATTGACATACGCTACGCCATGGTGAGTATAGGTTGGCTCCTCATCCTATGTAAGTATAAGAAACACAATGTATAATAGAATTATGAAACCTTTTTCTTTCTTCCAGACGAGCCACCCTGCATGCAAAACACCTCCACTGGTAAAAACTTGAAGGCTGAAATTTTTTCTTTTAGTCTATAATTTCATACGTTTATTCATTCACAAATCGAAACTTGCTTCAACTGTGACGATTTATTCAACAAGCGCCTATGCTGCTGATTCCAAACAACCTTAGTTTTGACGGAATTAGCTGAATTTCTCAGAGCCGAATATTGTGCCACGGGAAAGTCACCATCTTCTTTTTTGTTCAGCGCTGGAGTGTCTTCTGAAAGACTTAATTATGTTATTAGATTAAACCGGTCAATCGTACCCGTTTTGCATAAAGTCCGCAAAACTCCGGGCACTCCCAGAGGCAGGCCATCTAATCGAAGTACTGATATATTCTGCATCGGATGGCGATTTCAAATACCCTTTGTTCGAAATGATTGCCTTTTCTTTATTCTACTGTCATTAAAGCATAAAGTTCAGGACATACTTCATCCAAGGTAATCATTGGTAGTGAAGCAACAAATGTGAAGTGATCCTTCGTATGGAACGTTTCAGGGACATTCTGAAGAGACTCAGTGGTAACATAAAGAATATTCAGTTGCTCGTAAGCTTCGTCACTTAAAATTGGTTGATCAACTGAAACGACAATTTCGACAGTTGGCTAGAATAAGAAATGAAATTCAAGAAATAAGAATGGCATACAAGATCCTCAACAGTTGTTGAGACAGGTTGACTGAATAGTTTCAATTTCATCTCGTATTTAGTTGAAGTTTTTACAAGTTGCAAACCATCAAAAGTCGTTTGTCCCCATAACTCAGTTTTGGCCTCCTTTTGTTTCTTGTCTTTTACCTTGTGTTCGTAAATGGTCACTTATATATCACTATTTTATATCGGTCCAACTTACATACAAACGGTTGACAGCATAGGGGTTCTATAGAAGTAATATCCTTAATGGATACGTCGTACTTAAAAATGTGGTCGAATATTAATTCATTGTTACTATTTGGATCATGCTTTTGAGATTCACCACACGAAGAATCTCCATGTTCAAGTTTGGCTGAATACTTGCTACCATCACTCAACTTGACCTAAAAACAATATTACTTCAAAAATTCAATTTACAAAGTTGAGGATTCGTTTTAAGTGTACTTGAATAGTCCGAAAGTTCATAAGGTTTATATCCTTTGTCATTTCAACTGTGATGATCCGCGTCTATGAATAAGGCAGTTTATATACGAGAAAAGATTGATGAGTCGCGAGTGTGAAAAGACCTGAAAGATATAATAACATAGGAATTAATTATTGGACAACTCAATAAGCGTCCAATATCCCAACTTTAGAGTTCTTGGAAAATTTCATGGAAATAATGAGTTTTGTTAAACCGTTTGTGTGACATTACAAATGTCAGCATATATTTCAAGGATCGAACCCACACTACAAGTTGTTTGGTGCATTCGCCTAAAATTTTCCCAGAATTTACAACAGCTGCTTTCGCAAACATTCCTCAAAACTGATCAAATTTTCTTCAAAGTTGGGTGACTGGACGCATTTGTGTTATTAAATGATAAATAAGGTAATAGAGGACATGTAGCGACAGAAAAGCCTCAACATCATTCTGGAAGCCGAAACTAGGAGCAGATAAAGCAAATTTGCTACCTTTTGTACAACTTCAGTTTGAAAAATGCCACAACTTTGCGTAACTATACACTAAATTAAGGCTGTCACTTCACTTGATACAAACACTTGAAACTTATACATTCTATGCCTAAAATCTTACCAATACATAGAAGGATAACAATATTTATGTGACTGGTAAGTTGATTCTCGTTGTTTGGAGGTAATACCTAATCTCTGCCAGCTTAGAATGAGATAAATTTGGTTTGATAGCTTGAATAGCATCATGGAATATTGAGGTTGGAATTCAAAATTACCTTGAAAAGTAACAGTTCATTTAGACATAAAAGATCGTAGTATAAGCGACACCGTTTTAGGCCAAAGTAAGTTTTCATAGAAAATATATTAAAGACAAACTGTAAAACAGTATTATATTGACTAAGTTTTCATATCCAACATCTTTTTCCTGAGACAGAATAAACCAGTTTATCTCTTCGCGATCGATTCTTGTTCTTTCAGTACGGTTCAAGTTGTTTGGTAGAGTCCAATGGATAGGTGGTCTAGCCACCGACTGCCTATTTCTAATCAGTTGGCAGTTGTTTGTGAGTTCGTATGTCCCAAAACTAAATTGGATGCACACGGCATGCCCTTCGGAAACCCGTGCTCAACTTCACAGATGGTTTTGTTCTTATCCATGTTTGTATCCATCTGTTCATTCACCGGCCCTACCATCCACTTAGATATTAGTCGTAGCAATGAAACTGGTCTGTAACAGTCTGGTTCATTCCTACACCGTCCTTTGAAGATTGGAAAGAATATAGCTTGTTTTCAAACATCTGGGAGTTGGTGTGACTCCAATGAATGCCCGAAGAGGTTAAATGAAGGCTTCTGCACAGTATTTCAAAACTATGGGGCGAATATTGTCACATCCTGGTGACTTTCCGAGGCGCAAGGTTTTTAGTTTCCCTAATACTAATTCAAGAGTAAGCTGGATGTTCCATAAACCGTCAGCTGGCACTGAGTTTGCGTAGTACTTTGAACAGGTGGATGCCTGATTTAATTGCTCAGTGAAGTATGTGTTGAAGATCTCAGCCATCTCTTGGTTGTTAAAGTCTTCCTTGTTCGGACCTTCGCGAGAACACAAACTCTAATCCGTAGGTTTTCTTTTAGTCAGGAACCTTCAATGAGACCTTCCACTTGTACCAGACTCTCCTCTTTGCCTGCAGCATGAATTCAGTGGCGCGTCCAACACATGTTCTTCTGTTTCCGGGTGTGATGCGTGCCTGAGGTACATTGTTTATGACAGCATTCTGATCATCGACTGTCAACCTCCGCCATTCCATCGGCCGTGTGGCATGTAAAAGATTCTCACGCATGTGCGTGTGTTTCTCCCTAGTATAACAAAGTTTGGGCTTGTTTTTTGTTATTTATCACCCTGTTAAACAAGACTGTGAGACGGTCAGTACTTCCTATCAGTGTATGGACGTAAACATCCTCGACCAAGAACTGATCAATTGTTTAAAAAATCCAAGTTTGAGGAATTTACCTCCTTTGTCCATCTGTTGACGCTTCATATATGCTCAGTCATCCCAGAGCTCCTAACGGCTGTGTCTTTAGAACCAACTAGTGGGATTTGTACCATGTTTGCTGGGATTTCAAGATGACGTGTTGAAATTTGCAGCTAAGAGTATTTGATAAAATCCAAGGAGTGGCAGCTCCACTATTCCCTAAGTCAGTTTACCTTTCTGCGCCTTAGTACATGAGGGGGGTCGGTAAACGCCTACAGCCAATTATTTCATGCTATTTATGAAGAAACAACATCGACATGATTCTGTTAACTCGGTTAGCTGGGTATCGCGTAGTCTCTCGGCTTTAAAATGGCTGTTAGTATATATAGACATCCTGTTTCTCATCTGGTGTACCCTATCGATTAGCGAGAGCACGCCTTGAAAGCTTACCTCATCGTTTGCAATGTCAGTGAACAGCCATGATTCAGTTACGATTATTATCTTCTGATCCATTTGGAAGCATATATTCCTGAATTTCAATAGCTTGCTTCTTAGTCCTTTTAGGTTGCCATAGAGGCACTCAGAGATTTATCTCATCACCTGGTGCACATCTACAGCAATAGCCTGAGTCGGACTTTCAGACACGTTGTTCAAACCTAGTTCACCAGTTCTGTGAGGACTGACCTCTGCCATATTTTCGCATGTGAAGCTCGTTCATTCGGCGAGATCATTATCTTCATGTCATATGCCAAGGGTTCTTGATAGATGTCAACTGTCAATTTTGTGCGCTGATTTTGGCCACCGTTTTGTTGTCTCACAGATATGGGTTGGCGTTTGCAACAACTTATATGGCTAGAGAGACTGTTCTTCGAAATGTACCAGGCCTGAAGCGCTTCAGTTAGGTCTTTCTGATTTCCGAAATCCACAGCCATCAGACGTGGTGGCTTAATGGTCGTGAGATGTGACGGGCGAGGCAACCAGGATATGTTAGTTGCCATGGTGGTGAAAGATCCATGCTACGTGATAGCCACCGCCACGGACACACGTCAAGAGCTCGTCCAAGTCACGACCAACCATTTCGAGTACGTCATGAATTACCATAATGGTCCTCTCTTGGGTGCCTTCCTGGCTGCTGCTCGTTACCTCAAGGTGACAAGACACAGCTCTAAAACCTTATAATCACTATTAAGATCCCTGGATAAGTTAACATGCTTTTTCCGAAATTTGCAACGGCTGATACGGTCACTATCCTCCTAAAATGAGTATTTCAAGAAATACGCTACGTGAACCAAGTTTCTTAACATCCTGCAGGCATATCCTTGAATTTTTAATCCCTGACTTCTGCTTTGACTTAGTTTTGTTTATACTCAATCCGAATTGTGTTACGGACAAAAGCGTTGCAAAACTCAACATCCATAACTCATATTGTTTATTGCTGTTCGGTCAACTTACAAACCATCCTCCAAATTCTGAAATAGATAAGCATGATCGTACTAAGTGTCCGTTTTAGTAACCCTAACTTCTTTAAACTTAAATGTTAGTGTAAGACTACTGGAAGGTATGAAGACCCTCAGCTGGTAAAGATCAATGAATAGAGAGCTATCTGTTTGGCGAGAATAGAAAGCTTCGAAAATACTTGAAATTGATTGTTCAGCGTTAGTTTTGTCGTATACATTACTAAAATGAAAAGAAACAGTCAGTCATCCCTTCTAGTTCATTGGTGAAGTCGTTATCTATCCCAGCTCGTCATGCAACTGACCACACTAAACACTGATTAGCACATGAAAAGATGTAAATGGTCTTTGTAATATTAAGTAGTAAAATCAACAGTTAAATGAATACAAAGTGGTAAGATGAGACTGGAAGTGAAATCAGCTCAAGGTTACAAACACAAGTCATGGACGTAGTTTATATGGACGGGTAACATCAGTACATGCTGTTAGATCATAAGTAAACAAAGTGTTCTGCCTTGCAGACACTAGTGGATTGTAGTCGTCGCCCCTACATGAAATTGGCTGGTCAGACACCACTCTAATCGGTTCCTTCGAACGCGGAACAGTGAGCAACTAAGTGTGAAAATGCATGTATCAGATCATAAGACAGGCTAGAACAAAAAAACTAAGAATACGTTGCTCTCTTTAGAGTATAGATCTGCACTCATCAAAGGAGGAAAGTATACACATGCTCCTGAAAGTCGATGTTTCGTGCTGCATACTCGCTCGTCTGCAGCGCATTGAATGATAGCCCCCACTGTATTCGGTATTCCACTAAAACACGAATAGAAGGGCGTCAGTATATCATGATTTTTGTTGCTGTTAGTAAGGCTTCTAACTGTTGACGAAACGATTGTTCTAAACTGTTGGACTATGGATGATTAAGTATAGTATATTGTTCATGTGAGCAAATAAATATGGATAAGTTACCCAAACTTGCGACTGGACTATCTTATACCAACTAACATTCAATACCTAATATGAAACACTAGTTACTGAGCCGGAAGCTAGAACACGAAGCTGGCCCACTACGCAAACATTGAATGAGCCAATTTTCGCTAGGAACAATCCCTATTATTCCTGATACAGGACCTGTTGGGCACGACAGAACCCCAGAACTCCACTGTCACTGGTTGGTGGATTACTTTAGTACGCTATTTTTTGGCTCTCCCAAGGTCGTCTTACCATTCTATAAATAAGCTTGAGTTGATCTTCGTTCCTTTCACCGAGTAAGGTGAACTCGTAATAGCTGCAATCATATCAGAACAATATCCAACTGCTTCGTTAAAATGATCGATACTTCTAACCCATTAACCTATGTCGTAGTTCAGTACGCTAATTTCTCATTTTTATCACCTTATTAGCTCCTTATGTTCTGGTATTCATAAAATCAGTTTTCACTACACATAAACACTAAGTGATCTTCACATACACAACCACTTGACAATAAGTGGTAATTTAGAAGCTACATATTGGAAATCAAGTAAAAGGACACAAGAACACTAAAGGTCACTTGGGAAACGAGTAGTCAATAAACAAAGCAGAATGGACACATGAAAAAAAAACGTTACAAGTGATTTATTAGTCGAAAAATGAAACTAACAAAATAACTTATTTGTAGGTCACAGTTTACTGAAAAGTAATCATACAAATCATAAAACTGGGCCTGAAAATTTTTTAGAAATAAAATACATAAATAGATGATAATATTCTACTCTGAAAATAGGAATCGAAATAAACGAGCTTCAAGACCGATTGTCAGATATCGTGTAAAAATGATCACAGACTAGGAAATGCATAATCCAGAAACTTTATTGCAACTTCGTAACCGAGAAAACATGCCTACAAATGTAAAAAATCATAACAAATCAAAGTGAAATAAAAAAATACCCCATATAATTCAATAAGTGAATGTCAAGTGTTTGTGATTATTAGGAGAGTTTTTCACAACAATAATAATACAAGAAATGAAGGATGAGATTCAGTTATGTATCATCGGTTACTCAAACAGATAAAAAGTAGTTGTGAAAAGACTGGGTGATATAACAACCATTAGCCTATAGAATTTCAGATACCAACCAATGGGTTGATTGTATCATTATTATAAAAGATTTTAATTAGCCTGATGTTATTAATGTTGAATGAATTTCTCATGTGCAGATCATGTGAGGATTACCACCTCAGTATAACCACCACCTTATCACAAGTTTTATAAAATAGATGGATTACGGTTAGCATTGTAATTTAGAATGCGCGTTTTGTTCAATTTGTTAATCTTTAGATGATGACGAGTTGTGCAAACATAATTCCAAAAACGGCATGAATGACCAGCTTAAGAACCAATCTCAGAGGTCTTAAAATACCTTCACGTTGTATTTACATGTGATTTTTTTTACAAGTTCCCCACTAACTACACTACTGCACTAATTATGTAGAGTGACGCAACAGTTGATCAGTAGTACCATTAAATATGTAAACAATCGATGTTTACGCTTTACCAGTATGACTTTTGCCAATAATGCGTAAACATTTCGGGACACCATAGAGCGATCCATCAAAAGCAACTAAATATTTTCATTAATATATTTTAAAACTTGTTTCAGATAAACCTTACGACAATAATAACATAAAGAGAATAAAATTAACACACTTTGTAGATACAGACAGATAGACAGATATAACGCAGAACTTCGTACGTAAGTACATCAGTTCAGGTTGCCATAAAACATGCATTTCTGCCATGTTTTGGTCTGGCCGCCCCTAGCTTTCTTCCAAACTACTCCTACACCACAAAACATAGCTCGTCGCGGCAGTCGGTGGTTAGGCATACGTAACACATGTCCAAACCACCTCAACTGATGAAGTTTCATCACTTCATCTATTGAATTGCCATCCCCACCTAGAACGCGTTTCCTAACGACAGCATTGCTTATACGGTTGTCCCACGGTATATGAGCAATGCTTCGGAGACATTGGTGATCGAAGACTAGTAACCTACGAAAGTCCTCTACTCTTAACGGCCATGTTTTTCATCCGTACAGTAAAACGGAGCGAACTGCTGAACAGTACACTCGTCCTTTGGTTAGCGAGCGGATATCTCCCCTGCACCATAGGTGACGCAGGTTGGCAAAAGCCAGTCGAGCCTTCTGTATCCGTGCTCAGATTTCGTCAGTCACCAGGCCACCAGGACTGATGAGTCCCCAGATACGTGAAGCGGTCTACACGTTGGACTACTTCACTCCCTATCACTAGTTCAGATGCCGATGCAACCCAATCTTGAAGCAACATTTTGCATTTCGATGGGGAGAACCGCATCCAGAACATGCTTGCATTGTTGCTTAGGGTAGTTAGAAGACTATGCATTTTGTCAGCGTCTTCACCGAATAGAACTATGTCATCGGCATATTCTAGGTCAGTAAGCGATTTCAGGAGACCAGGAATGACGTTTCGTGAACTCGCATCGTTTGCATTAGCTGTGCAGTGTGATAAAGGAATGTGAGAAGAGTTAGACGTGGAGATAAGAGAGGAAGGATTTGATTTTGACCAATTTGGTCTCGTGTGCTGTTACGGGTATGAGGGCGGTTGTCACTTCCCGGATGCCCACACCATGGAAGGTCGTTTCTTGAGGAACCTGAAAAGGAAGGTAGATTAGTGTTGGTCTTAGAGACCGGGTTGCGTGACCGCAGAGCCCAAACGACAACTGCTTGAGGCCGGTCACACACGGCCTTTTTATGAAACGATTTTTGAGTATTAGCTCCGCTCTTAAGAGCGCTTAATGGGCACCCTTACCGCCGGAGACGGAAATCCGTGAGGTAGGGTGAGATGTGACATTTTTAGGGTCGACTTTTTCTAATCACTTCCTTCCTTGTGAAGGCAGCATCGCTGCAGATGCTGGTTGTTCGAGGTTGTTCTCCAATCGACCTGCTTGGTACGGTAGAACCTTCAGGAACATATGTTCCAGCCAATATAGCTCGGTTGAATCATCACGATAGGTAAGCCCGGCCACCACGTCAAGGTAGCAGCTTCGGTCGGGTTGTAGATACAGTTATGATACAGATGGTCGTTGAGAAGTAAATATAATGCCTACTAGTGATGAACAGCTACAAAATGAAATTCCAATCATATCTTTCAACAAACCATGTAGATTACAATTTCAGTTGGACGAAATTTTAATCTCGTATGTTTATGTTCCAGTAATACGACAGTTAAAATATTTGGATTAAAAGTTTTCTCAACCATTATAATTGTTAGAATAAAATATAAATTATTGATTAAAAAAAAGATATTATAGTTCAATCGATGATACAACAAAAGCTTACAGCGTTTGCAGGAAATGCTCGAAGCATCACTGGAGTTACACCCCGATATAATGCCAAAAATCCTTCTTTTGCAATAAGCTCAGAAAATACGGATCTAATTCCATTGGGATAAACACCTTCAGGAGCTAAATATTTAAGAAACATAAAAAGAGTGTAAATTCACTAAAATCAATTATGTGATCAATCTATTCAAGTTTTAACACAAAAAAATTTATCACGTTATCTGAGCTCTAAAGGCTGCCAACACTAAAATGTTGGTACTTTTTAACAACTACTGAAGATAGCGATAATCAGAGCCCAATATTATTTTCTGTCAACTATTAAACAGAAACTAATTTACTTACTATGAGTATGGATGAAAAATAATAAATAAAACAGGGATATATGAATTATCAAAACTTATAAGTACTGAGAATTAATCTATATTCTGTAGTGTTAAGTAACTTAAAAGCAACACTAGAAATCCTTTTCACAAGAGATAAGGATTAAGCCTAAAAGTTAACCTAAAACTAGTCATGCCTTGGATGATAACAGTTCATTTAGACGCTTGTCTTAGATGAAGTTGATAAACTTATTAAAAATCACCAAACAACGAGAGTAGATGCAAAAACTAATGTTGCACATATAATACCGGTCTATTTAATTTTTCAGCCAGTAATATTTGTTGAGTATATTATCATTTCAATATGAATTTTTCTTTAAAAAAAACCATAAACCCACTGGTAGTAATAAACTGTATATCTGTCCACTTATTTAAAAACAATTAGTTTCACATTGCACTCAATACACTAAACAATTAAGATTGTCAAACAGTTAAATATTAAGGAATCAACTGATAATGACGTATAAAATTAATACGTAAACTTGGAAACAGATTTAAACAAATCACGCCTGCATCATACATAATATGTTCATGGTCATGACAACTGTTACTGATGTTAAAATTTAGAGAAAAAAAATAAATCTGCTAAACATCATATAAATACTATTACTTAATTTTATTTCACTATAAAGAATGTATTATACATTTCACAGCGTTGATCTTATAGGGGGGGGGGGACAATGACTACAAACAAATTTACAGCTAAGATCATATGAAACATAAAGTGATCAGTAAATCATAATAAAAACTAAACAAAATTTAATAATTAGGAAATCTGGTGTGTAATCTTGTACAATAATGAGAACTATTAAATTTTGAAACAGAACATACCACTCTGTAGACGAGATTTTAAAACATCAGGAGGAATAGCTACTAACCAGTTGCAGATACCTGCAATACCACCAGCAAAGAGAGTTTTGCTGACACTCAATTCATTATTCCTGTTAAACAATTAGCAGAAAGGTAAATCAATGTTTAAGACAAAATAGGAATAATCAAAATGATTTGAAATAAAAGAACAAGTATCTGCTGCGATAAGATAGATATTGAATATAGTTTTTTATCTACATGATCTTATCGAAGAAACATATACTTATCTCAGAACGATCCAAATAAACAATAACCTTATGAACTGCTTTCGATGAACAACTGAATATCCTACATAGGTAAGTGAAAGCTGAGTAAGTCAACGCCCTGGACAAATGATGCCGACCTTGGCATTTAGGTCTCCCGTTAGAATGGCCAAATCCTTTGATGAGCATCTCTCTCAACGATTGACTGTAGACAAACGTAGAATTGATCTTTAACATCCTAAATGTTATCGTTGGTAGGGGCATAGCACTGGATGACGTTCTTTGTTTTGAAGGATGCCTTGATGATTCAGGGTTCAAGAGATTCCCATCCTATTTCTACTTTTTGTGCTTGTTTGGATAGCATCAGTGCAACTGCTGTACGTGGAGCATTTTCTTCTTGATGGTCAAAGTATAACAGTAACTCTTCTGAAGTTAGTCTTTGTTGTCCAACATATGTCCAATGTGTTTCACTGATTCGAAGCACCTCTAGGTTGTATCTTTTCGTTTCTGCAAAAACTTGGAATAGTCTTCCGGTCTCCCACAATGTTCAGACATTCCGTGTACCTAAAAGAATGATGGCTCTGGTTGTCAGAAGGGGCATCGCTCTTGTGACTTCCGGAGACTCGACTTTCATGATGAGACGTCATAACTCTTCTAAATGAAAACCTTCTAACTCCCGGGGCAGAGTTCAAATGGGTTAAATTATTTATTCTGGTTGGCGTTTCTTTAGAAAGTTGGTGTTCTAAGGGATGCGGCCGCTAACCCAATGCTCAACCCTCTTCGTTTACTCGGGCCTGGGACAGGCAGTAACCACAGAAGGGTTATGCGCGGAGTAGGCCTGCCAAATACCTAGAATATGTGTTGATAGTTTTAGTTGCCACCTTGACCCCGGGAACATCTAGTAAATACCTTTATCGCATGATATCAACCATGTGCACTCAATAATTTGTCACCTACTATTCAAAGTTCTCGACATCTACATACCGCTACTTACCTATTTCTCGAGAAGGAATGACTAGTGGAATAAGTCAGAATAGCATCAAAACAGTGTTAGAAAATTTACAGATATTTTTTTGGATCTGAACCTCCCCTAACACACTATTCAGAAGTACGATTAGATATCACAACAGATGCACTCATCTTAAGAGAGGTGACAGTCATCTTGCACAAATTTTTAGGCAGAACGGAACAAAGATGCATGCTTTTAGAATCGAGGAGTTAGCAGAGGTCGTTACAATATAGGATATGGCATAAATTTGAGTTTGCTGACTGATCATAAAGCCTTGTCAGTCGCTTTTGGCTTCAGAGCAACATCTGCACACTGTGAAAATTAACTGCAGTTCTGAGAAATAAGTTTACTGGTGTCGTCGCCCAATTGTACTGACTTTGGATACCGGTTCATCACAATAAATCGATTTAGTGAAGTTAACGTTTGATCACATTGCATTATTGCGCATGATACATCAATCGAAATTTTTCTCAATCGTTTCAGCATCCACTACAGTGCATTTAAAACCAGTGTCCATGATAAATATCCGATCTAATAATCTTGAGTGGCAAAGTTACGGATACAATCCAACCAGATGGTAATTTATAGTATGACGTGCAACTACCCAGCACACCTTTGAGTTTATAGCCTTTCCCATAAAATGACATGGTTTTTATAGAACTGACAGTAGATGGAAACCTTTAAACCAAACTTAGTTGACAGATATTTATAGCCCATAGACGTGATCTGGAAAATCCTGAACAGTTAGTTCATAGCACAATAAAACGGATAGCTGAATTATTTTCTATGTGCTAGCACATGATCAGACAGTGTTACAAAAATCACTAGAATTAAGGCTTGGTACATTAAGATACACACAGTTACCTTTCAGTGTATTGTACATGAACAAAAATTACTTTTGAGAAGAACGAAATCTACTGTCAGTCCGCTCTTCTTATACTCTAATATGGATATCCTAATATTCGTGGCGTACTTTTTCATGACTCTCTATAATGAGGATATTTTGTGTCGCAATTACGAGTGGAATAAATCCCATGTAACACAGTAATTGAGAATTTACTTCATAAACGATGTTGATTAAACTTCTAAAGAACTTAGTAAGTCGTATATATAATTTTATGAATATACTTTCATTTGGTTGAACATTTCAAGGATGATGCTTTACATTAAAAATCTTGTCTGATATGAACTTATAAATTTAAATAATTCTAACCTACTTCAAAAATACTTACTTTGAATGAGGATTCCTTAATGCGTCTTTCATTAATTCATAACTAAGAAAATACACTCCAGATGCAGGAACATCTAAGAAAGTATAAGATGAAAAGTGATGATTTTAGATACTGCTTTCAGGTAGTAAGCTTGATTAATTCATTGGTAGAAATATATTGAACGAACGTATGGGAAGTATCTGATTGTGATGTGAATCTAATACACTTATTTTAAACACCTTAACTCAGGAAATAAATGTGTGAAAGGAAATATCATGTTTATACAGTACTGATATTCAAAACAAGCTACTATAACATCCGCCAGTATACGAATGAATATGAATGAATATTTGTAAAGTCTCACTCATGGATTTTTCACAAATCTCTGTAATAAATTTAAACGCCTAATTCTTAATAAAAAAGTTGATATTAATTTACAAAATAATACAGTATGTCTGAATTTATTCAGGAATTTACCTACATTTCGTAAACAACCTGCAAAAATGTAAACAACAATGTTTATTCTGTTGACTTAATAATTTACGCTAAGATGGACAAACTTGCAAACTTTCACGGTAAATTAATTATATTGAGGAAACCAATGACTATTTATGATCATTTTTTGTCAAACATAAGAAATGTATACAACGAATGATGATTGATTAGTGAACAATGTTGACGTTTGTCGAATTCAACGGTAATGAATACGTCTTAATAATTAGGTTATAATATGGTCACTAGCCCAAGTACTTTGACGTTATATACAATACGTTTTGATGTTAAGTGTTTAGAAATGGTTGTTGAGAAAAAGATATGAAAGTAATCAATGAAAACAGTTTGAAGGACATTACTGACAACTCTTTGGTTGCTAAACTAGGGTCAACAGTTTGAACTGAAACAATACACTAATGATACAGTCATTATTCCGTATCTATAACCCATTACTGAAAGTTAACTGTAATAGAATGAGGTTGAAATTTGCAAGATCACTAACCATAGACATAATAAAATAAAGTTACAGATACAGCCTGATTTTTGTAAGATTATGTGTCTATTTTATCAGATACGGAAATACAAATCACATCGATGATAACGAGAAATGACAGACCATTTTTATGAAAGTGTCAGTCAGAATAATTAAAAACAATGTGGTACGGCAACCGGAACTGATATACGTACGTAGGAAGTTCTACGCTGTAAATGACTCCCTGAAAAACAATAAAAATGATCACAGACTAAATAGTTTAAATACTGAGTTACAGTTTTTAAAACCAAATTTAAAGAAGTACAATATATGGAGGGGGGTTACTGCAGAACTCCTTGTCATTTTTAGTATTTTAACATGCATTTCCGCCAATCTAGAAAATATTAAATTCAACAAGGAATTATGGTCCTCTAAACTGGACGGTATCTATAAACATATGCAATACAGTTACTAGAAGTGACCTGTGACAGCTTTCTTTTTATACACTACGGAAACTTTAACCCTGATTTTATTCAGAGATTATATGAATATACATTTAACGGTGACAATACCTCTCAGAAGTGTTGCAGCTGTTCCCTTGAAAACGCTTCGAATCCCACCTTCACGATACAACTGACGAAGAACATCAACCGGTCCGTTATACTTTAAAGGTCCAATGGCATGCGATTGGACCTAAAAACATTTTTAAAATTAATACGAAACAATACTCTAGAACTTGTTCTCTAAGTCGGTAAATGATCAAAAAGATATGATAATTCTAAATGCACTGAAATAAGATTAGCGTCAAAAGAACTATTAAATATACCACTATAGATTTGAAGTATCTGGATAATCAACTACCTCAGAACAGAAAAAAACTAACATGGATCTAAAAATATCAGACGAGTAGAGAGCAACCTCATGGATCTGAGTAATTTTTTCACTTAACCAAACTAGACTTACATTGGTCAGACAATACATAACCAAGTATTTATTTTTGGGCACTTACTGATTTTAATGGTATAAACAAACTTTATCGTACATTTAAACTACTGAATAAGTGATCATTTGGATCGATCATAAGAAAAATTATATGTTAATGATTCATGGACCGGTATACAGCCCGAGCCAACCAGTCAGTCTGCTACAGTGCAGAACTTCGTACGTACATATGTGCGTCAGTTCAGGTTGTCATACCACATTAGCACAGAGAAGCAATTGTCAATTCAAATCCCATAGTGATAGAGGTAGTAGAAGTATTAGCAGTAATCGGAGAGATTAGGGTTCAGAGATATTATTCAAGAAACATAGTCTAGTGAAATAAACTTCAAAAAGAGAATGATAAAGGTGATGTAGAATCCAGAGGATTAGGAGTTCCAATATTTCATCTATTAATCTGCAATTCTTACATGGTACCCGTTTCTAACAATATCATTGCTTACTCGATACTCCCGAGAAAAACAAGCAGTGCTTCGAAGACACATATGATCGAAAACCAGTAACCTACTCTTACTAGCCATGTTTCACAGTCATAAAGTAGAACGAAGCGAACTGTTACACAGTACACTCGTCCTGTGGTTAGCAGACGGATATTTCGCCTACGCCATAAGTGACGCAGGTCGGCAAAAGCCAATCGAGCCTTCTGTATCTATGCTGAGATTTAGTCAGTCACTACGCCATCAGCACTGATGAGACAAGCAAGATAAGTGAGGCAGTCGATACATTCAACTGCTTCACTCCCTATCACTAGTTCAGGTGCCGATGCAAGCCAATCTTGAAGCAGCATTTCGTATTTCGACGGGGAGAATCGCGTCCCGAACATGCTTAATTTGTTGCTTAGGGTCGTTAGAAAACTTTTCAGTTTGTCAGCATCTTCACCAAGTAGAACTATGTCATCGGCATATTCTACTTCAACGAGCGAATCTCCCGATAGAATTTCAACTCCTAAACAGTTACATGATCCAAGTGTCGTACATAAAAGCACGTCAATGACATAGTTAAACAAGAATGAAGAAAGTGGACATCCCTGACAGACACCACTTGAAGTAGAGAATTCCGATGACAGTTCGCCATATGCTCTAACTCGACTTGTAGTGTTTGAATAGAGAGCTTGTATAAGGTTAATATACTTCTTTGGTACACCTTTCAATGACAGGCACTGCCACAGAACCTCACGATCAACAGAGTCAAATTCCGCCTTAAGGTCAACTAAGACAAGTATTGTCGGACGCCTAAATGTATGTCTGTGTTCCAGAACCTGTTGTAGTGTGAAAATGTGGTCTATACATCCACGTCCAGGTCTGCAACCAGTCTGGTCTTCTCGAGTCTGCTCTTCACGAGCACTAGTTAGGCGTCCAAGTATAATCCGGGCTAACAATTTAGAAACTATATTAGTTAGACTTATTCCCCTGTGATTGTCACAAGAATCTTGTCCTTTCTTATAAATCGGGACAATCAGGGATTGCGACCAGTCAGACGGGATTACGCCCAGTTACCATATTTTACCTAAAATCTCAGTCAATACAACTGCTGAAACTGGACCACCATCCTTAAATACCTCAGGAGTGAATCTATCAGGACCCGCTGATTGCCCTCGCTTCAGATTTCCTATCGCTTTCTCAACTTCATAAAGAGTCGAAGGACTTACGTCGATCTGCCACTCAGGTTGGTCTGGAGATCGTGGGCAACTGAAGTGTGCCCAAGCCACAGATATTTTGTTTGCTTTTTACAAATCATCAGTGATGGGTAACAAACTGTGAAACTAGTTAAGTTTTAACCATTATAATCCAACATTTTATAAACCATCTTTTCTGAAATTGAAAGAGCACGTGTGGAAATAGGAGGCTTCACCGCATGATGAGGATGCAATTCAGGTTACTCAGTTTTGTATGCAAGGAGCTTGGCCAAAATAAGGCAAGCTTTCTTCATACTATTCACACACCATCTAAAGTGTTTGTCACTCAAAAATCATTTAGATATGACTGTCAAATAGAAGCTTATTTCATAAGGTAATTTGATCGACTACTTTTAAAGGTGAAATTATAAATATGAACACTAATTTAGTTTCATGATATGCATGAACGCAAATAAACTCTAATAAACGTGACTACGTGCAGTAGATACTGTATATTCGTAAATCAAGACAGATAACTCGGATAATACAATAAATTATGCCGCAGTCTTACTTGTAACAGACATTTTATACGCTCTCCTGGAGCCAAGATTGCAGTAGAGAAAACACCAGAGAACATTCCAGCAAAGAGAATTTCATGTTTGCTACAATTATATGATAACGTGAGAACTTGTACATACTTTAAATGCATTGGATCTTTGGCAAAAATCTGCTTTCCTAAATTGTATCCGAAAAAGCAAATGGAGAATACAGGTGCTACTCCGGCTATAGGTGCCCCCATCCCTTTGTACAGTCCAAAGATGCCATCAGCTGCTACAGTTTTCTTGATACAGTCAAACGTTCCATAATATAAAGGTATTGTTCCTGATGTAACATGAGGCATTGTCTGAAGTCTAACCTGGAAATGAATTTACCATTTCAAATAGAGAAGTGTTAAAAGTGACCAGTGACCAATAACTCCGATTCAAAAAACCACATTTCACGTGCATTTGTTTCACTAGATTTTATGACCGTTTATGGTAATAAAACTTACTGGATTTAAAATATCGCAGAAATGACAGGTGACGGCAAGTCCACGAACTATAGGACGCAATGTGTAGTCGTATAGTAAACAAATCACCAACTAGATATATTACTAAAGTCACGTGATTTGACCAGTAGTTCAAAGACATTTTAAAACCTTTACATGTGAGGTAAGTTTAGACCTTCGAAGAGACTTTCGTAGTTTAAGTATTATGAGTTAGAGCCTCTGGAATAGCAATTCGCTTCGTACCGTATTATTTAAAGCCCATCAGGAACGCAACTACAACGATCGGAAATCTCAACGTATTTTAAATATTTTTACGAATATATACCCTAAAAGCAAACTTTTTCCTGTATGCATGATATCTTTTTGAAAGTAGATTCGATATTGTAGAAATACCCATATGTTTGTGCAAACTGACTTAATAAGTAAAGCCATAGTGAGAATGAATACAAAAGCTACTTGAGCGAGACACAACTGTGGTCTGATCATGATTTTCCTTCAACAACATCTGGACATTATGGCTGATTCGAATTCACGACAAAAACCCTAATTCACAAACTTACTTCTTACTTACGTTTCACTATGTCACTTTGGAATCTTTCGAAAAATAAAGTCTCGTTATTGTTGTTTTTAAGCCCCCCAAATGTGCAATTTAGGAACACTTTACGGGAATGATAACCAAGGGAGACCAAATTTTACCCCCTAACAAATACTTATTATAACGAAGCTAGAAATAATTACAACAGCTAGCTTGGCCTAGTCGAATGCTATATATACCGAAAAGCATTATCATAGTTAATTTCCGTTTAGTGGGTGTTCAATACATCATGTACATTTACGTCTAAAATAAACATAACAGCAGTGAACAGCATAGAAAGATTAGATAGTCAAGTATTTTCAGGCCAGCAACAAAAATATAAGCACTGCGGTCTACGGTTTACCCAAAACTAACTTGGAGTGTGGAGAACCCAGGACTTTCCAGAATATCAACTAACCTTAGGGAAATCCTCTGAAATTTATTGACAAAAGCCAAATTTGAGATATTTATGGGTAATTCCCCGAGACTTCCTAAGTGTTTATGAAAGTCTTACCATTTAATTCGCAATCGCTTCGGAAAACCTTATGCAGTTAAAAAACTACCCCTCCATTATTCTTTACAAAATATGTTCTGTATACAGAACAATTGTTGCTAAGACAGGACGTCTTGAATAAAGTAAATAAACTGTGACTGCGATTTCAAATACCTTTTAAAAATGGTCAACTCAGTTGTTTGGTCTATCACACTTGAAAGCCACCAAAGTCTGTAGATTTGTCAGAATGTAAGAGAGAATATATCTCCGATAAACAGAGATACTATATATCATGTCATTTTAGCTTACGTGAAGGCAGTTGATGAGTCTTTGTCAAACTAATGTTATTGATAAAACGTACATTCTGTCCCAATTTTTAAAACAAACCTTTATAGTATCGAAAGGGTGACCAACTGTAATGCAACACGCGCCACCAAACCCACCAGCAATAAAGCTCTTAATCGGGCTTATAACCTGAACGTTTGACTCAGCCATCAATAAGCGCGTGTGGACTGTGATTTAGAACCCATGGCCAAGGTCACGTATGTATACATGGGTTGATCAAACAAAGGGTACAATCCTCAATAATTGTCTAACCAATGTAAAAGAATGATATCTGTTCTTGGGTTAGAATCTGGACTTCAGCATTTACGTCTTTTACATTAGGCGAATTGTGTCTAATAAATAACAACTGTAATAAATGATTAACTATTATTGATCTTCAGATTATATTTTAAGGATCGCCTCTCGGATGATATGTTCGCAATTTTATTTACTAAAACAACACCGGGTAATAAGGTGAAAAGAAATCTCCGAATAAACATATGATTTTTATAATGATATCTTCAGAAGTCTGATTATCACAGCCCTTTTTTTACCCATTTTCGTTCGGACACAAGACAAACATTGAAAGTAGCAATTGACGGTATTACAACATAAGGCTATCGCAAACAAAAAATTTCATATCTGGAAACAAACGATTGGGATCTGACATGTAAGCAATAAATTCATAGTTTTCGAGTGTCAATCAATTCATTGGCATTTATGCAATACCAACTGAACGACGTAAGATACCTGGTTTCATGATCATAATTGAATCACAAGGTGTTCAACGAGTAAAAACAGTTGGATCATCTTCGAATAAGACGATAAATAAGGTTGAAAAATTTCTACGGATTAAGCTGAATAAACTGAGAACAAAAATTGTTGAGAACCACTTATCTTCCAATGGAACGATGGATGACGCTTTAGTGAAGTTGACGGCAATTGAAAATTCCATTGTATACCATTAAGAACGCACTAATCCTGTATCTTGTATACTTTTTGGTCCAGCTGGCCAAACTAAAGTACACAAGTGGTCGTCAAAAGTAGTAAATCCAAACAATGGGAAGTAAAGAGAGCAAGTTGTCAAAATGACTGGTATGGTTAATATTGTCTCAATTTATTGTAACAGATGGTAACGACCGTGGACTTCTAGATTTGTGTTCTTGGTCCAAAGACCATCATGTACGTAACTCACATCAAATAGATCAGTTTTTCTTTTGATGTTGATGAAACTTTTATAAAAGTTCAAAGCTGATAACGGTATGGCAGATCAGACAATTATGGAAACTTATTGCACATTATATTCGTTTACTCTCACATCTTGATCAAGCCCATTCCCATGTATGCTAAAACAATAACTACTCGGTTCGCCTTAACGTCGAGCACTTGTGAAAACATTTTCCATACATATGTATGGAAGGAAGGTTGACTCTCAATTTTCTAAGCGTGACATGCTATGAATAGGGCCTACTTTTACCTTCAGATATTTCGACCAATGTAGCGGGGATTAACCTCTCTATGGGCTAAATCAAGCAGCCAGTAAAAGATCAAACTAATCCCCTACTCTTTCCATTTAGAAGGAGCTTGGGCTAATACCCAACTTTGACTGAACTATGGATTGCAAAAATGTGACTATGGAAATTTTCTTGGGAATGTTTGTGTTATGCTGGTCACATGATATGCTTGAAACCATTGCAAGTTCAGCCTAGTCGATAAACGAGAAAAAGACAATGAAACAGTGACACGGTCGGCTACTCTGACCCACTGCCCCAACTAAAGAGAAAACTCCTGATACAACGTACAAAGTGTATTCTACAAACACCCAGCAAACTCAATGATCTCAAGCAAACAAATCGCGTTTAGTTATGCATCATAGAAACGTCCTCAGGAGAGTCACTAAAATAGCACACTAAAATAACACAGCAACTAATCACAGCCAGGGATTTTCCATGTGGGAAATGTGATCTCAAGGTCAACTGATCCAAAACTAGCACATCCATCAAGCGAGTTCTTGGGATATAAAGTTCCCAACAGTTAAGACTCTGTTCAGAAAGAACCATTAGGTTTGGGTGGGGTGCGTCAGGACGGTGAATATGAATTACGCTGTAACCAGGGCACAGGAGTCAACACCACACCTTTGTGTTATGAGCGTAAATAAGTATATCGTCAACCAATTACTTATTTTTGCAGCTGATTTAACTGGTTGACGGTCAATCATTACAACTATTATTAATGATACAAACGCATCTGCACCTATTTGCTTAAGAGAATGCATGGATTTCGGTCAGTTCACTCTATATATGCAAATCTCGTATACCTGAATGCGGAAGCTTCTATGCTTATATGCACTTACAGGGTAGATAGACTCCCCTAAACATTTTGTGTTGACTGTCTGGAGGACTAAGTAGTAATTTTTCAAAACCTAAACGTCAAACGTAGCGTGGATGGATATACAATGTACCGTCCGAAACAAGATCATAAAAGGTGGTAGAGGATGTATGATCTATATACATAACCCAACCAATGCAACAAGAGGAAAATGATGCAATAGTCATAATGAAAGGTTCTGTATGTCTCACTATGTGCGAGACTTGTTATAAGATACTTGTGGGAAGTTTGAAAGGCATTCAGATGAAAATTTGAAACGAATATAATCTATCCAAGAATCTTCTCATATGTTTCAACATCAGACATTGGATTCAAACTGATTGTCGGAGAGTTCAACGTGCTTGAAGTTTTCTGGAAGACAAGTACTAGTCCACAGCGATATGAAGAAATAGCAGCTGTTATAGACATTCGTGGTCGGAAATAGTATGTCACACAACCTATATGGGGTAATAATACACAGCACATCCCGTTCTGTCACAGAATCATACCTAGAATAGAATAACACAGGTGAGCAATGTAGTTTTCTAGCGACCATAAGATAGTTCATTGTTCCCTATGAATCGACACACTAAAACTAAAGTTTGAGGAATACCTACGTGAGGCAAAGATGCTATCTTTCAAGCTACTTACTTACTTACTTACTTTCGCCTGTTACCCCAAATGGAGCATAGGCCGCCCACCAGTTTTCTCCAACCAACTCTGTCCTGGGCTTCCCTCTCCAGTTCTGTCCAATGTTTGTTCATTCCTCTCATATCTTTCTCTATTTCACGGCGTAATGTATTCTTTGGCCTTCCTCTTTTCCTTTTGCCTTGAGGGTTCCATGTGAGGGCTTGTCTCGTGACGCAGTTAGGTGCTTTTCGTAGAGTGTGTCCTATCCACTTCCAACGCTTCTTCCTGATTTCCTCCTCCACTGGAATCTGACTTGTTCTCTCCCACAGTTCGTTGTTGCTGATGGTGTCTGGCCAACGAATCCGAAGTATTTTACGTAGACAGCTGTTAATAAACACTTGTATCCTCTGGATGATGGCTTTGGTAGTTCTCCATGTTTCCGCTCCATACAGTAGAACTGTCTTCACATTTGTATTGAAAATCCTTATTTTGGTGTTGATTGATATCTGTTTGGAGTTCCAGATATTTTTCAATTGTAGAAATGCAGCCCTTGCTTTGCCAATCCGTGCCCTCACATCTGCATCCGATCCACCTTGATTGTCGATGATGCTGCCCAGATATGTAAAGGTGTTAATGTCCTCCAAGGCATCTCCATCAAGAGTGATTTGATTGGTGCATGTTGTGTTGCATCAGAGAATTTTGCTCTTTTCCTTTATGTATGTTGAGACCTACTGCTGCAGAGGCTGCTGCTACACTGGTCGTCTTCTCTTGCATTTGTTGTTGAGTGTGCGATAGAAGAGCCAGATCATCTGCGAAGTCCAGATCGTCCAGCTGCGTCCTAACTGTCCAGTTGATACCGTGCTTCCCTCCAGACGTCGACGTCTTCATAATCCAGTCGATGACCAGGAGAAAGAGAAAGGGTGAGAGTAAGCAACCTTGCCTCACACCGGTCTTCACCTCGAAAGAGTCGGTTAGCTGTCCTCCGTGCACGATTTTGCAGTTGAATCCATCATAAGAGTTCCGTATGATGTTAACTATTTTCTCAGGCACCCCGTAGTGTCGAAGAAGAGTCCACAGTGTTTTCCTGTCCACGCTATCGAATGCTTTCTCGTAGTCGATGAAGTTGATGTAGAGTGGTGAGTTCCATTCAATTGATTGTTCCACAATGATCCGTAATGTAGCAATTTGGTCAGTACACGATCGATCCTTCCGAAATCCGGACTGTTGATCTCGAAGTTGGGCGTCTACGAAGTCCTTCATTCTGTTTAACAATACCCTGTTGAAGACTTTGCCTGGTATTGAAAGAAGAGTGATGCCTCTGTAGTTCTCACACTTGCTGAGATCGCCTTTCTTTGGTATTTTGATCAGGTATCCTTCCTTCCAGTCTGATGGTACTTGTTCCTCATCCCAAATCTTCTTGAAGAGGATGTGAAATATTTTCGCGGTTGCTTCTACATCTGCTTTCATTGCCTCTGCTGGAATGTTGTCTGGTCCTGCTGCTTTGCCGTTCTTGATTTGTCTGATGGCCATACTGATCTCCTCAATCGTAGGTGCGCCAATATTAATTGGGAGGTCCGTGGTTGCTGCTTCGATGTTGGGTGTCTTCAGAGGAGCTGGTCGATTCAATAGTTCCTTAAAGTGCTCCATACACCTATTTCGCTGTTGTTCAGTGTTGCTGATTACTTTGCCTTCCTTGTTTTTCACTGGTCGTTCTGGTTTACGATAGTTTCCGGCGAGCTTCTTTGTAGTTTCATACAATTGTCTCAAGTTTCCGTCTCTTGCAGCCTTTTCCGCCGTCGTTGTAGAATCTATTTCGCCGGCGGCTGTCCTAATCGCGTCCGATAGAAACACTCCGGTACGTTACTCCTAGATCCAGGTCCCAGCCAAATCAGAAGGTCAAAAATTCTAGGAGAAAACGTCTCTATATTGTTATAAAATGGAAATACAGAGGCTTACGGTATTTTTGTTTCTTCCAGGACTAAATTACTCCGTAGAGTATCTATTACAATAGCTAGTAAGTGACACTAAGTCCAGCAGCCACCGCGTCTATCCAAAAATGTGGCGGTAGCCATATTATATCAAATTTAAACAATATATGTACAGTTCAAAGGCAAACACAAAAACTTCAATATAAGTACAAAATATAGAAAGAATAACAATATACAATGGTAAAATCTCAAATTGGAATCAAATAAAATACCAAAATGTCAAGAGAAAAAGTCCATCAGGTCATAGC